TCTCTTTTTTTTTTTTGTAAGTGGTGTCTGTTAAATCTCGCCAAAGACTAAACAAAAGTTTCAACCATAGATTCGGATACCACTCGAATGCGAATGTAAATTAACACAAAGACAAGTCACTCAGTTTTCCATCGGCGAAAGATCGATCTTCTGCTCAACGTACATGCTGGAAAAAAATTGGGCGTTTCATACCGCCCTGTGGCGGTTGTTAACTGTCGGCGGTCGCTCCTCCGCTTCCCTAGTTATCTGGGGTTAGTTGGACGTCCGCGGCACCAATGGGTCGCAGCTCCAGCAATGACGACGAAAACCGGAGAATCTAACCGACTCCTCTGACGGCTAAGCGAGCAGTGTTTCTCGAGTGATGCGCGCCCCTCAGGCGGCGATCCTCTCCTGGGCACTTCTCCGGCGTGTGCTTCTCCGATGTGGCTGCTCCTCCGTCAGGGCTTCTCCTACGGCGGGGCTACTCCGGTGTGCGCTCTTCGGCAGGGAGTTCCTCTGTCGGATGCTTTTCACTGCGTCTGTTCCTTCGGCAGGGCTTCTTCTGGGTGTTCGTGCGGCTACTCCTCCGGCGTGCGCTCTGTGAGCAGGGTTCTCCTCTGGCGGATGCTTCTCCGATGCGGCCAAAGCGGCTACTCCTCCGGCGTGCGCTCTGCGGCCAGGGTGCTCCTCTGACGGATGCTTCTCCGATGCGGCCAAAGCGCCTACTCCTCCGGCGTGCGCTCTGCGGGCAGGGTGCTCCTCTGGCGGATGCTTCTCCGATGCGGCCAAAGCGGCTACTCCTCCGGCGTGAGCTCTGCGGCCAGGGTGCTCCTCTGGCGGATGCTTCTCCGATACGGCTGCGGGCAGGGTGCTCCTCTGCGAAATTTTTATGGTCACTTTAAATTTTTTAGAGGGGAGAGCGAGCACAATGCCCCAAAAAAATGGTCCACAGACTTATGAAAAATTTATTCACGATCGGGTTTATGGCCCTATCTCCGGAACTTTCCTGTATTTCCCGCTTGAGATACACGTGGTATGTTACCAAATTAACTTAATGAGAAAGTAAGTGCAACTGCACTCAATGACGGCTTGATTTGAAAAGACCGAATCTAAGATAGCGTGGCGTAACTGGGCCATCGGCGAAAATATATCACAGCTGAGTCGAGCTTTCCAAAGGCTCCCTACGCCGGCTGACCTTCGATGAATTACGTTTCTCATTGGTATTACCCCAATATGCAACGAAGATCGGCTTACAGATACTGAAGAGGAGCATACTTCTAGGATGAACTAAAACGGCCTATTCAGTTGTCACTACAATAAGTCAAGTTCCTACCCAAATACTTGTTGATGTGAGTGTAGTTAAAATTTAAATACTTGTAGAATATTCCGGAGAGAATAAGCCTAGATCAGGAATACATGATTTCAAAAAGGGCAGACGAAGACCAGTCACCAGGAGGAGAACGAATTTTCAGCAAGAAAATTGGCCACTCATCCCCGGGTGGCCACAGGTTTTTATTCGTCAACAAAAATTAAAAAGATAGAACTACCCGTCCCGAAAACTGCAAACATATTAGCAAGCTGAAATTTAAAAATAAAACGAGACTGATACAATTATTCAATTAATTTAAGCAAATTTATATCTATTTAAATTATTATTTATTTAACTTGTTTATTAACTCATACAAAAATATTGATATATTATTTATTTGACTGGGACGGGTAACGGTATGTAATTCCCATTTTAAAACAGCATCCTTGACTACAAGAAAACTCTTGACCACAACCAATCACGATTCGCAACATATTGCAGATACATTGCGAGAAATATTAATTGAATGGAAGATCCGTAACAAAACTGTGTGCATTGTAACAGACAATGCCAGCTCCATACTCAAGGCATGTGAAATATTGCAAATACACACTTAATTGGCTTTGCACACACAATCAATCCTGTGGTGCAAGATGCTTTAAAAGTTGACGACATATTTTTTAAATATTTATTTACTTTACTTAAGCAAAACACAATAGCGAATGAAGATTTAAAATAGCTCAAGAAGGCTCAGATTATACTTTATTATAAGAAACACTAGATGGAATAGTTTCTATTTAATGATTAAGCGCGTTTTAAAAACGATCGATGCCATTATCAAAGTATTATTAACAACAACCAATGCACCATCAGTTTACTGCTGAGGAAATACTTGTGCTAAAAGACATTGAAAAAATATTGTCTTGCTTTCCATAACCATACCGATTATTATACCCATGGCATATGGACTTTCTCGCAAAATTGAAATTGCTACAAACTTTGCAAGGAAAAACTATGCAATGCATTTTAAAAGATTCAATAATGAAACGCTGTTCCAATTATGAGCAAAAAACAGTCTGCAGGATGGCTACTTTACTGGATCCACGCTTTAAAAAAAAATGGATTCCAGCAAAGTTCAAACTCTAAACAAGCATCCACATTTTTTAAACATGAACTGGCAAATTTCGCATTCAAAGATTCCGCACTAAGGCTGCCCGTCGTCAAGGAAACTTGCTCTCAGAACTTATTGTTGAATTTTTTGGTTGAGCAATCAGAAAACAAACTTGGAAACACAGAGTGGATGCAATTTTAACTAAAAGGCAATATCTGGAGAGGGCAATTGCCAGTCAAGATAGCGACCCTCTGTTATGGAGCAAGGTATGTCTAGAAAACGAATTACAGGTTCTATATAATTAAAGATATTACTTTTATTTCAGGTTAATCAGTCTGACTTTCCGTCAACAAAAAGCCTCTTTTGCAAATATCTCTGCATTCCCGCTATATCCGTTGAATAAAAAGAACGTTCAGCAAGGAGGGCTAAATTGCTTTAGAGCAGCGAACCCGGCTCAAGGAGGGAAATGTTAATACTCTTTTATTTAAACTTATAGCCTAGTACTCAGATCGGCTAAGAGTTTCACTAGTCGAAAAATCTTATTCTTTGTAGTGTGACCGAAGTTTTCAAAGTTCACCCGCAATGCATCTGGCATGGTTTTACTGTCAAGCGGCTTGTTGTTGCCAAATGGAAAACAAATCAATTTAAAAATGAATGTCTGCTGGTGCAGAAAGAAATTAAAATTAAAATACATTAAATTTTCTACGAATGTTTTTATTTATGTAAATTAGAAGTTTAAGGCTTCCTTCTCGTCCCACGTATGCTTCGTCATTTTTCCCGCGCCATCTGTAGTCCAGCTCCGAGTCCCAATAGGCTGGCCAATAATGGCTGGTCATGGCTCCTCCAGCTGTCCCTTAGCGGGCGACCTTATTTTCTCCTCTCTATAGAAGCCGACGCGTCCTCCATCTCCGCTTTAGCTGCCAAGTAGCTGGTGGAGGTGGAGTCCTCATTGGAGAGCTCGTCGGAGATCGAGCGACGTCCCATGTTCCCTCCCACTGAGATTCGATAGTGGATCTCCTCCAGCACTTCAACTATTCTGGGGATTTGCCCCGTTGTGGTATTGTTCCTGTCGGTCAAGTCCCATAATGGGCAACAGCTTGGATTACGCGTCCTTTTTCATCTGCACTGACCTCCTTTAGCCGTTTTTGGTGTTTTTCATCCATTTTTAATTTTAAAATTACCCACCGCTTCTGCACGAACACCGGCAAAGATTAAATTTCTTATTCTTTGGGCCGCGGCTAACGGCGTTCATCGAAAATTCACACGCGAAATCTGGTATTTTTTCTGGTATTTCCTTAGCTCATCTGAGTACCGCGCTGAAAAACAGACCCGACGAAAAGCTTTAGCCGCCTGTTTTTCTCTCGCTCACTCCTATGGTTAGCTCGCGGTTTTCGTCGATGTGAGTACTAGGCTTTACCTCAAAAAAAATTGTTTAAGTCGGGCGATAGTATCGCTATATAGATATAGTATATATCTCTATATCATCCAATCTAACTTAGAAATGTTAAGCGGAAAATAAATTAGCCACCGTAGAACTAACTTTTAAGTAAAAGGATGAGAGCACTATTTTCATGATCGCAGTTGTACAATAACCCCATTACCGTTGGCACTATCGACACTCGATGGTTCAAAATTTACTATCGTAGAATATCGATGGCGCCCACTATCGATAGTTCTCCACCTCTTTAGTCCACCACCACCCTATCGAATTTCTAAAGACCGTTCGACTTGTGGGCGTTTCCAGCCTTATTAGTTACTTGATATGCATAGAAATGAATATATTACAAAACAAGGAAGAACGCTATAGTCGAGTACCTCGACTATCAGATACCCGTTACTCAAAGGGAAATGGAGATATGCAAGCAGCAAAGCGAGATTAAAATGCGCCACCTACCGGCGGTAGACAGATTTAAGCGTTATGGGCGTTAGAGTGGCCGTGGCAAATTATTTTGGATCAATCGATAGGTATTGACGACACCAATACATTTCAGTTAAAATTTTTTATCTAGCATGCAAATTGCGGGCGTCACAGGTTTTCGCGGTTTGTGGGCGTGGCAACTTTTTTTTTAGGTCAATCGATAGGTATTGATGAGAACAATACATTTCAGTTAAAATTTTCTATCTAGCATCAAAACTGTAGGAGTTACAGTTTTGGGCGGTTTGTGGGCGTTAGAGTGGGCGTGGCAGTCTACTGAAACAAACTTGCGCTGCGTAAGAAGCTCAGGAATCTGTACGCCAAATCTCAATAGCCTAGCTCTCATAGTTTCCGAGATCTCAGCGTTCATCCGGACAGACGGACATGGCTAGATCGACTCGGCTAGTGATACTGATCAATAATATATATACTTTATGGGGTCGGAAACGCTTCCTTCTGCCTGTTACATACTTTCCGACGAATCTAGTATACCCTTTTACTCTACGAGTAACGGGTATAAAAAATTACAATTTTATTGGACAAAGAATTTTTTCCTTTAGTGTTTCGCAAGCGTCAGTGTACAAGGGGGTTTTCCGTGCAGCATGGGGGGCACGTACCGAATGTTTTACCGTGCTCTAAAAAATACCATGCCTTTAAGGTGAAAGTTTTAAAAAGACTTATTTTGATAAATGTCATTACAACTGTTTATTTATTTTCACACCAGTCAATCAAGAAGTGACTGGCACTTTTAGGCCTCAGTCTCCGACTGGAGCTTGGCCACATAAGCTACCTTGTGGGTGGCAATTTTGGCCTTGCGCTGCTCATTAGTTAGTTTCTTAGCATTCCACCTCTTCTTTGTAACGACAGAAGCCTTCTTTGCGGTGACCTTATGGGTGGGGTCGTTACGAATGGCCTGGTGGGCTTTTTTATAGATATCTTCAAGCTGCAAAATAAGGGAATTTATATGGTCATTATGAACTAAAAAAAAAAATAGAAACAGAAATTTATCTTATTGAGATTACATTGCCCACTATTTTAATGATCGGTCGAAATGCGGCATAATTTCTAAAATATGAGCATATGATTTTAACTCGAAAATTGATTGTGACTTTTGCTGTACTCATCTATATATCTCTATATCATCCAATCTAACTTAGAAATGTTAAGCGGAAAATAAATTAGCCACCGTAGAACTAACTTTTAAGTAAAAGGATGAGTGCACTATTTTCATGATCGCAGTTGTACAATAACCCCATTAACATGAGTTACGGCTATAAACACGAATAGATTATGTAACCTTAACAGGAAGCTAGGCATACAGAGTTACTAAGCTTCGAACACAGGTTACCGTTTTATTGTGGTCCACTTTTGGCACAGCCAGCGTTGTTGGTTGCAAAACGAAGCTGCAATTTTTAAAGTGGACGTAGAGAAAAAACTAGATGATACTCACATCATCAGCACGAATTCCCAACTTGATGTAACGGCTAAACTGGCGTTTAAAGCTCTCTTCGTCCTCCTCCTCCAAAGTGCGCATATAGTCTGCCACATGCTGACCAAATATATGAGCGCGGTGTACATCGGAATTAAAGCTCTTGGTCTCTGCAGAGTAACCAGGAAAACGCTTCACTGAATGGGGAATATTCAGACCACCATCAACTGCTCCCTTCATGGCACCAAACACTCGAGCACCAGTTGTGGTCCGAGCCAGTCCAACATCCAAGAAGCAACGGAACGCGCCTGGGCCGTCATCGACAGGCTCCACGTTAAACTCCTCTCCAGTAACCTCAGTGCACCCTGCATACAAAGAGTCTAGACCCAACTTGTTGAGAACACGACGGGCAACCAGCAGGCCGGTGCAATACGCAGCAGCGTAGTTGGTCAAACCAACCTAAAATATTAAAAGACCCAGTAAGTTTGTTCCACAGAATCGCAGCGTTCCCACTCACCTGGATACCGTACTTCGGAAGCTCATGAGAGTAAGCGGCACAGACAACGCGATCCCCTTCTATGCGAGCGTAAGCAATCTGAACAGTAATATCCTTGTTGGACAAACGAACAATCAGACGGTACTTTGGAGTGTTATACTTGTTCTTGTCCTGAAACGTTAAGCGTTTCCTGGCGTAGTAATCAGTCTTGCCTTCCCGCCGCCTACGAAACTTCACCTGATACCTCTTAAAGTACTGCTTGTTCTTGACTACCTTAACGAAACCCTGCAAAACAGATATACATCCAAAGGTTAGGGCAACAGATTAGAACTGCCTTGTGCTTGCATAACGATTTTGGGTCTTCACGTGCGTTACTTGCAGGTTAGAATACTTTTTAAACTTTAGATTATTTTAAGGATGACTCGCCCTTTCACTTTACCCACCATTGTGTTGATAGATAAATATTTTTATCACCGCTAAAAAAGTAAAAACTGTTATTAATAATATATTGGCGGAGTGAAGGTATTTTCAACGTACCTCGCCGGAAATTGCTAGCAAAAAGAAGGAAATTAGTGTGGCACAATGCAAACACTCTAAATATGTACTAAATAATACGTTTTAGCAATTATTCTTGTGCCCTGTTTCCATTATGGATGCGTCGCGTTTGCTTTCATTATAGCCGCTGCACTGACCCTTTAATAGCCTGTTCACACAAAGTGAGTTTAGGTTTCAGCGACCAATATCGCGAAAATATTACCCTCAATATGATGCGTTTTCTTATGAATTTTTTTCGCGAAAATGCGTGGTTGTCTTGTAATTAAATTTTACAGTTGCGTATTTTGCTTTACAAACAAAAGTTTTTTCTACGTTTTTAAGTGCTGTGCTATAAAAAACATATGGACCTTATATTCGTTTTTAAAATATTAAGCAATCCAAAAAATTCAAAATTTCACAGTAAACTGGCTTACAGCAAAGGTAAGATTGTCTGTTATAAAAAGCCTTCACCCAAAAGCAAAAAGAGTACTCAAGAGAAGAACTTAGCGATATAAACAGCGAGATTTTAAACGCATATTTGGACAAACGCTGGAACGATATTGTAACCGAAGCGTCAGTTAATGCCGAATCAATTTAAATCGATGTTCATAAAATACCCAGTAATTCAAATTAAACGCTTCGCTCTCTTCTACAGGAGCTGAACTTCTGGTAATTGAACTAGCGAGTAACATACAAGTATAATATGTCAAAGAAATAGGTACAAGCATTAGAGGTAGAGACACATCTATATTAAATCGATGTCATGAATGTTTTGGCCAGCCATCATTATATACGGTATGTTATGTTGCGAGTTGTGGCACTTCGCCCTGGAGAAAGGAAGTTAACTTCGGCAAGCCGAAGTTTGTATACCCTTGCAGTTATAATCATTAAATTTAAAAATACAAAAAATGATATTCCCAATAGTTGGCCGATCTGGCTGTTTCCGACTTATTTACTACCTGCAAAAGAAAGAAGGAGACAAGTTTGCGTAGAAACGGACGGACAGACGTACAGACGTACAGACGTACAAGTTAACTAACTCAGCCGGGCGATGGCATTAACCGATCGCCCAAAAGTGCTGACACAGCGTCTGTCCGGAAGCTCATGCATAGCCGGCAAGCACTGGCCATTGGAGTGGCCGCTATGAAGTTCAATTATGTTAGCTTTAAAATTCAGTTCATTTTCAACATTCAAAGAATAAAGAACACAAGTTCATTCTGAAATAACTCCGGCAACCGCCGTATAACTTCTTATTACTTAAACACTGACTGAGTCTCTAGGCCAGCAGCGAACGGAGGGCAGTACCCTTCCAGCGTAATCATCACAACCCTTCAGTAGATGAGAAGCTAATCAACCGACTACCGGCAGCTAATCGAGAGCTGCTGCGAAGGAAGCTGGACAATTATCATTTCCAGAGATCACATCAATTTTGACCATCGGCCAACCGGCTACTGATTGAGGACTGCAGCGAGGGACTCTTCTGCAGCTACCCCCATACTAAACCTAATTTACAGAGGGGCACACGGACATGGCTAGAACGTCTAGTGATGCTGATCAAGAATATATATACTTTAAGGGGTTGGAAACGTCTCCTTCATTGCGTTGCAAACTTCTGACTGAAATCATAATAACCTCGGCAAGGGTATAAAAATGCTGTGCATGCATGGGCACACAATTTTTTTTAAATGTTGTCTGCGAAATTAATATGGTTTTACCGCAAAATCAAAGCACAGACGGATAGCTTAAAATTTTTTTTTGTAAGTTAACGTTACTTACATTTCAACTTCCAAACTTCCGCGTTCAGCAGAACAACATGATAACTTGGATAGCTGATGGATAAGTTATTAGTGATCAAGTTTGTTCTGCGGAACGTTCTTGAGATCTGGGTTCCAAAAGGTTCGGTCTTAATTTAATGTCCTCACTGACATATTTGGTTCCGAAGAATCTACATTTCTGGGCCTCAAACTTCTAAGCGAATCCCCCAGACGGCAAATTCCCAATAATCAATTCGACATTGATTTCATGGCCGACAATGTACCCCCCTCCGAACCTCGTACGCCGTTGAACATCTCCGCTGCGCCGATCACTAGCAATACCCAGTCGGACATGGAAAAATGTAAATTTTTCCTATGGAAAAGAGCTGCTGGTTTCACATCCCCATTATGGACAAGGTCCATTCGCTTTTATTAAGGCTGTTCAAAGTTACCAGTACTGAAAAGTTCGCGACCGCTTTACATAGGAAATTCCTATGGAAAAAGGTCAGGGAAATTCAGGTGGTCTCATTTTTTCGGGAATGACCCCCTAAATTTTTCATAGGAATTTCCTATGGAATTGTATATAGGAAATTCCTATGGAATTGTATATAGGAAATTACTATGGAATTGGATAGGAAAAATGTCTTCAAAATTGCCTTAAAATATGTTAAAATTATTTAGCTTACATATTTTGTGTTCTTCAAAGTATGCTTTATTTAGCTAGTTTTTTTGTATATATCAAAAATTAAAGACTGGTAAGGAACTTTTGGCCACTAAAAATTATTTTTGTCCTCGTTGGTTTTTTTTTTCCTGGATGCATCCTTTTAGGCCCTGTTCTTTGCCTTTTGCAGCGCCTCACGGACATTTTTGGTGTGGTTCATAAAACTACAGCCGTCAGACCTGGTGGCTTCTGTTAAATATATACAAAATGTAATACAATTAATATTTTTAAAACACAACATTTAATACACTCATTGTTAGATTAACCATTGTTATTTTGTATTAAACTAATCCGACGCCAAACCAAAGTTTTTGTAAACAAAACAAATTTATATATAAGGACAAATGCATATACAAAAACAACGGTCACTCTCGCTACTGTGGGAGGCTCCGCCGGTCACACAAATCTAGTTATATTTACATATATATAGTTCTTATTATACTGTCATATGTTAAAAAACTACAACTACTACAAGAGTTTTGTTATAAAACACATTAAAAACAGTTAAAAAATTAATTTTTTTTGATCCACCGTACACTTTTACGCAGCACGCAAAATTCAAGGGGTGGAGACGTATGGCAAGTGCATTCGATAGCATTGTTGCAATTCTGAGTTGCAATTAAGTGTTTCATCTTTGATTTTTATAAACTTAAATTTGTTTTAAATTACTTTTTTTCAAAATACTTACCATTATTTTAACATAGTACGCAATAAATCACTTCCTTTAAATTTCGATTTAAATATATGTATATTTTAGATATCGAAATTTGTAAAAATATTTTTTTTACTTACATTTTGCATTAAAATATATTTATTTATATGTTTTTAAAGGTCATTATTTATTTTAATCCTTATTATTAGGACAATTTAAGAGTTACAACCTGCTAATGGTTTTATATTTTGACATATTTAAGTACAGTTAAAATTTTGATTAGATTTTAAATGTTCGGGGAGAACAAATTTATATATATAATGTTGTTTTAAAAATAAATCGCTTCTGAGGAAATATTTCCCCCTGAATTTGTCCTATGGAATTTCCTATGTATACGAGCAGCGAACGCTTCGTCGAAAAAATTCTTCCCGAAACCCCTGAAAAAGATCACGTGGTACCAGCCGCTGAATTTTTCTTATGGAAATTATTGTGGAATCAAGCACCACTTGCCTGACGGTCCTACTGGGTACATCTGAATTATTATTAACTAACGCCTCAAACAATGACACATACAGCTCTTAAAACTACTGCTAAAGTTCCTTAAACCGCTGACGCCGATCGTATACCATTGGAATCAACTTCCCCACATACCGAAGTGACCGATGCTGCTCCTAGAACCTCTTCATCCGCACCGCGACCACTTATGGAAGTTTCACCTTGCCCCCCGCCTGGGTCTGCTGGCAGCACCAACGCTTCTGCAAATGTTCCGAGTCCCGATGAGTTGCTGTTAATGTCTGTTGCTCGCTTATCACAATTATCATTGAGCTCAGTCAAACTTCGAAAGCTATATTTGTGTCAAAACGTACGCAGTCTTTTCGATAGACTTAACCAAATTCTTAATAATAGCGCGTCATTTGACTTTCGCTTTGACCGAAACCTGGCTTAACTCTTCAGTTTCCGACTGAAATCTTAGCTTATAAGTTCTCTACTTATAGAACGGATCGTCCTTACTGCTGGCGGTGTCCTTATCGCGGTAAATACTTGTTTCCTATTGCTAACGATGCTGGTATTGAACTCGTTGTAGTAAAAGTTTGCATTGGCACAGCTTTCATATTTTTGACCCGCTCATAAATTCCTCCAACGTGTGGTTCCATTGTTTATTTTAACCACCTATCTGCTATTCAGTTTTTCATGCCTGCCTTAGGTCCTGCAGATCAAATAATAGTAATGGGTGACTTTAACCTCCAACATATTTCTTGGGTTCCCTGTGATGACTAATCTTTTGCTTCCTAACACTTGTCATGAATCTATCAATGGGATAACAGACATGTCCCTCGCTTAAATCAACTCTGTTAAAAGTAGTCGGAATAGACTTTTGAACCTCATGTTCGTTAGTGATGCCGCTCTTGCAACAGTTTCCAGAGTCAACGCAATTTCCTTTTCTGAAGGTCCTTATCACCCAACTTTACAACAGATATAGACTGTTGAGCTTTTAAGCCAATCTTAAAAATCGCCCTTATCAACAACTTGTCCGATAAAATGTTTTCGGAAAACAGATTATACTGGTCTAAATTTGTACTTTTCGAGTATTGTCTAGTCATCTTTATTAGCAATGGATACCGCTGTCCTACAATTTTACTCCATTTACCCTGCCTTGGAAGCTTTAGTCCCATCATTAGCTGTTTCTCCTTCTTCCAAGCCCCCGTGGCTTTCCAAATATTTGTCGTATCTAAAAAACAATGTTTACTCTAAACGAAAATCTAACGCATTTCCTCCGTCCCTTCGCTATCTCAATAAAACAGAAAATTCTGCTCCCGAGATTTCTAAGATTTTCTAATCCCTACAACACTACTACATCGTATCCTTATTATATACCCCACGCACTGAGAGCGTCGTTTTGGGAAGAATGTCCTCTATTCGTCAATAGTATGAAACGTCTTTCATACTGATA